TTTCCACCGAAAATTCGGAAAGGAGGCTTGGAGCTGCACTGGAAACGAAAAGTGCACTTTTTGGAAAGAAGGTTTGCGTTGTGTGGGAGATCAGGAGAAGGGAAACGAAAATGGCATCCCTCCAAGAGGGTAGACGGCTGCCGATTAATCTCACCCTCAAGTCCTATCGTTGCTCCCGTTAATCCCGTACCATCGTCGCCCCAGTTGCCTAAGCCGCTTTCTTCGCTAGTGACGCCATCGGTACGTGCTTCGTGTGATCCGTCAACACATCCGTCTTCGCTAGTGACGCCATCGTCACGTGCTTCGAGTCATCCGTCAGTGACACCACCGTCACATGCTCCGCAAGCGATGCCATCATCGCCTTCGATACATCAAGTGACGCCACCGTCACAAACACCTCAAGCGACGCCATCGTCGCTAAATCCCATCGTTGACCCGTCATCAGTGGTCTCCGTTACTGCTCCGGAAGGATTCTTGTCACCGTTCCAAGCTGGAAAATTCATGGTTGATTCTGGGTCGCCAGTGACAATTGTTCCGGTTCTGGACGTCAGTCAACCTTCGGTTGATTCCGGATTGAGAGACGCCAGTGGAAACACCATCCGTACCTACGGAAAACGCCTGGTCAATGTCCCAATCGACGGGAGAATCGTACCGTTTCAAGCCCTCTGCTGCAACGTCGTTAGGCCAATCCTTGGCCGCGATTTCTTTAAAGGTCCAGGAAAAGACTTATTACTCGATCTTTCTCAAGATAAAATAGTAAACAGGATTAATGGTTACCGTGGTTCTTCTATTGCTTCGAACGATAATGATTCCGTTTGTGCACTCGCCGGAAATTCGCTCAACCCACTTGCTATACCGTTCCGGACAACATCAAGCCTTGAAGCAGCTAGAAAAGAAGCGAAACGTTTGGTTCAAACCTTTGTTGAAACTCAAGGTCCTGACGACGGATTCTCACCTTCGCTTTTTCGCGCCCATTAGGATCGAAACCGGTTCGCACGCTCCCGTCTTCTCTAAAGCGAGACCGTTATCTGGAGACAAAGCTACTTTTGTAAAAAAGAAACTCGACGAAATGGTGAAAACTGGTGTTTTAGAAGAAGTCACCGGACCAATCGAGTGGGCTTCACCCATTCATGTCGCACCGAAGAGAGATCCTGATGGCAATCTGACAGACTTTCGTCTATGCGGAGATTTCAGAAGACTGAATTCAATTACGGATCTTGATCGCTATCCTCTTCCTTCTATTAACGACGTTAATGCAAACATGTTGGGGGCCGAAATCTTCTCCAAAATAGATCTCAAAACGGCTTTCCACCAGGTTGAGGTTTGGAAACAACACCGGAAGAAGACAGCAATCAACACCCCGTACGGCGTTTTTCAGTTCCGAAGGATGCCTTTCGGACTGAAAAACGCCGCACAATTGTTTCAGAGGAATGTTCACCTCATCTTCAAAGATTTCACATTCCTTTTCATCTACATGGATGATCTCGTCATTTTTAGTAAGTCGTTGGAGGAGCACCTGGGTCATCTTCAAATCGTCCTTAGTAAACTTGAAGAAAATTGCTTACGCGTAAATCCTGCCAAATGCGAATTATGCAAGCTCGACATCAAGTACCTTGGTCACAAAATCTCAGCAGAAGGAATCTCGATCACCGACGACAGAGTTGAAGCAATCCGGAACTTTAGCCGCCCGTCATCGAAGAAAGACCTCGAACGCTTCTTAGGCGTGTTTGCCTTTATCCATAGATTTGTGCCGAACGCGTCGGGCTTGTCTGCTGAGCTTCACCAGTTACGAACGAAGAATTTGGCGGGAAAATTCAAATGGGATGAATCGTCAGAAAAAGCCTTTATTGCAATTAAAAATGCAATTTCAGTTACAACTACGTTATCCCATCCAAGCAATACTGCCAAGACGGAGTTGTGGACAGACGCGTCCGAGAAAGCTGTTGGAGCCGTTCTGGTACAATGGCAAAGAGAAACTTGGAGACCGTTGGCGTTTTGGAGTAAGGCGTTGAATCGGGCACAACGTGCGTATTCAGCGTTCGACAAGGAGCTGTTGGCCTTGTCCGCAGCAGTCAAGCACTTTCGCTTCTTCCTTGAATCTTGGCCAGTAGCCTTACGTACGGATCACAAACCTTTAATTTCCGCTCTGGAGTGAAGGTTTTTCGATTCTGCATACACCATTTCAACGCCGCCATTTACTATATGTAAGCCAATTCGCCAGTGAAATTGCCAATAATAATTTTACCTGGCAAGTCTAACGCGGTCGATGCTATGTCAAGGAGCAACTTGTTCATTCCTGGAAGATTTTACGATGAGCCACTTCAGTTGCACAAGTGGCAGCCAGCCGCTTCCTCTATCTACGTTCAGCCCTAAGGATTTTTTGTTATCACAAGAATCTGACGTGAACTTACAGAAGTGGATTACTCACCATGTAGCAGATTCCAAGTCTCCATACTTGCCGAAGAAAATCCAGTCCAACGAAGACAAGTCAACCGAGTTATGGTTTGATGTTTCAGGTCAAGTTCCACGTTTACTTGTACCTTCAGATCGTCAGAAGGAAATTTTCAAGACATTTCATTCGATTAGCCACGGAAGTTTTAAGCCTACTTACGTTTCAATTTCTCGAGAAAACTTCTGGCCAAGAATGAAGGCGGACATTCGTCGTTGGTCCAGGGACTGTTCGTCTTGTCAACGGAACAAGACAGCAAGAGCCACTCGTGCCCCTCTCCAACAATTGAACGTTCCTTCTGACCGGTTTGCAACCTTACATGTTGATTTGGTGGGTCCGTTGACACCAGCTGTGGAGGGCAAAAGTAACATCTTTACCATCATTGACCATTATAGCGGATTCATGTCGTGCTATCCTCTTTCATC